TCGGATACCAACTGAGTGGGAGAGCCATACGGGACACGCGCATGGGGAGCTGCACTCTTCAGGGTCCGAACTAGTCCGTCAGTTGGCCGCCTCCCACATGGCGATTTTTAGCACATCGTGATAATTTGAGCCCGCATCGGATTGATAAATTTCGTTGAAGTGCTCTGGAGGTGGAGTTTCCAGAGTTGACCTCACCTTCTCCTCCCTCTACCACCGCGAATAACCCCTTGATCAGGTGCATTTCACTCATTCCACCTCGAGCGACCCATCAGCTAGGCGGTGGGGGAGAGAGTGAGGTCGACCCTCAAGGAATTTCTGTCCTCACTATGAACAATATAATGCGCTTGAAACTATCGCGGTGCGCTAAAAGCCGTGGCTTAGAGGGTTGCCATCTGACGGGATAACTTGGACACCGCAGTCGGCCCAGTGTGTGTATTTTTGTGTGGAGTGGCTGACTGCGGGCTGAGATTCCGACTCAATGGCTCCTTCCTAATGTGGTCTTTATGGTGCTCCCAGACGGGAGCCTGCCTAGCGAGCTGTGTTGTTGGTCGCGCCTGCGCCCTCCCCATCTCCGGTCTTCTTGACTTTTTTTCTTGACACGGGATCCTAATGTGGGAGTGGTGAGCGAGTGGGGTAGATTCTTCGCAAGCCTTCTTTCACTATAATCTGATGGGAGTCACTGCGTTGCTTCAGCCTGCTGAAGCTGGTTGTGGAGATCGTCGAGAGCGAAGGTCGAACTGTCGATTGGATGCAGTAAACTCTAAGGTCTGATCAATTACGTAGTAAACAGTCCACTTTACTTGATCATACATTTTCCGTCTGGTACATTTGAGACTCTTTGACCGCAGTTAAAGGGAAACCACCGGAAAGTAGTGATACGATTCCTTCATTGTCCGACTGTCGATCTTCTTAGCAGAATACCGAAACTGTAATTTTTAGCACCTGTGGTTCTTACTTTTAGTGTCTAGCCTTTCATTTTTAGTCAAACATCGTGCAGAATACTGTCTGTTCGAGTTTTATCCTTTCCAGATAGATGGAGGTACTAACAATCAACTATATTATAGTACATGATCCCCTATTCATATATTTTTAGCAGGGGGCTTACTTTAGACTGCAGATTTTGAGACGACCCCAACAAAGCAATTGGCCAGAGGCCCCTGAAAATACTGTGGGCATTATTTATTGTCTCCTGATGCCTTTGCGAAGACAAATATGGTTCTTCAAGAGACTCACAAAACTGTTTTTGTCTATTTTAAGTAGTTGGCTCATCCTGCCATTGAGTACTGAGGCGAAGAGATTATCCTCCTTTTCAACGGTTTTATGCATTTCTGAATTTCCGAAGGATATGCTAATTACTGTTCACACTCTTCCCGACTGCGTGCGTAAAATATGCAGTCACATTAAGTTCGTTGAAGTACTTTGAGTTTGACCTTGTTTTCATGTCGGCACTGAAAGGCAGTGAACTTCCCGTCGGGTCACGTTAAAGTGAAAAGAGAACTCCGTGCCAAATCATGTGCTTCAGAGAGTTGTATTTCAGAAGTACTATGAATTCCATGATAAGTTTTAAAGCCGAAAATGCACTATTTCCAAATGACTTATATATAAGCAATTTCGACTAGACAATACTTGGTGACAGTGCTTTATAAATGGCAAACTGAGACTTGATGTCTAAACTTGTGTTTGAAAAATAACATATCTGTCCTATAGTCAACTGAAAATGGCATCAATTTATTTTATTGTATTTTTAATATGGGGGCTTTTATATTTTTTTCTTGATAGAACTGTACAAATGAAGTTTTTTTGCCAAGAAGAATTCCTGCATGCTAACGTTTGGGACAGTGAACTTAACCTAAGGTCACAAGAAAAAAATATTTTGCTCTTCTCCTGCACAATCAACGATAAATCCGTTGGATGTTTTCGTTCCCGATTTACCCAGCCCTGTTACTTCATAATCTGACAGAAAACTCAGAGCTTAGTTTACCCATTTTAAACGACTCTGCCCCACGGTAACTCACCCAATTTAAAGCACTACGCCCGCGGGGCGAGATTTGGGTATCTACTTCAACTCCTTAAAAATTAGTAGTAGTTAAAGTACACGGTAAGTGAAAGGCTCTCCTAAGACTAATTGCTAGATAAAGACTTGCTGGCGGGTTCTTCTTCTACTGGAGATACCACCAGAGTGAATCACTGTCATCAGGATGGTTCAGCAAGATAAGTTTATCGGGCTGAGTGACGCCTTCCGTTGATTTTTGTTCTATTCGCGCTCATACGCGCAGGTACTGCATGCAGCAGAACAAAATTAGCAGTCATTGTAATTGCAAAAGTTCACAAATGCCGCCGTATGGAATGAAACAGGCTATGGTTATTTTTAACTGGAAGCAGACAGTCTATTTGTGGCACGGCATTTGATTTTTCACAAATGATCATTTTGGTGTATCTCTCTCTCTCTCTCCCTCTGTGTGTGTGCCTTTTAGAGGAAGCGAAGCGTTATCGAGGCAAGGCCGGGCGAATGCGTGGATCCGGAGGAGGCGATGATGCAAACGTACGTCCCCCTCCCCCCCCTCCCTCCCCTCCATAGCTGGCTGGCCAGAGGCCAACTTAACAGCAATTCGGCCACGTGCGCCTACGCGCCGTGGGAGAAAACCATAGCTGTATTTTATACTCTCTCTCTCCTTCCGTTGTGTAAACCGTTCTGACAGAAACGCATGGGTCAGAAGACAGGCGCTAAGTAACGAAAGTGGTGGCCATTACGATAAGGAGGCGGTCTGTAGAAGGCATCAAATCTCAGGAAACGTCGACGGAACGCCTTAAACGCATGCTGTCCAGCAGAAAATAGGGAAAAACTGTATTTTAGGACCCTTCTAATATCTATTTCCCCCGCTCAACTTTCTAACATATTTTGTGGTCAAACATTTAATTATTGGTTAGTGAGTGTATATGAATATTTAATTGCGGTGGAAATGATCAAAAAACATTGAATTAAAGCAACTCATATTTGTTTCAATGTACAAAAGATAATTAAATCCACCAACATGAACCCCTGTTGCTCAGGATACTGATGTCAGTCGACGGAAATTCAACCTTATATCGACGGACTCAACGAAAAAAAATTGAAATTCGACGTTGTATTGGCGGAATTTAACGAAAAAAGGGGAAGTCGGACTAGTGAAAATGTAAAGGTAGATTATTTTTATAAGTCAAAGGCAAAAAGGACCTCTAAAGACGGGTAGGGATTACTTATTTGATCCCCGCAGCAGGATGTGGGCACAGAAACCGTCTATGAGACAGATGCTTTTAGCCTAAATTCCAGGGAAATTAGGGGAACAGGTAGGGTTAAGGCAGAGTTACACAGTTGCCCTTAGGGTCAACTTAAGGGGTAGAGTTAGTCCAGAAGAATAAAATGCGATTGCCAGAACGGGAAGTTTATTGGCCCCACGTTTCGGATTCTCACTCGGAGTCATCATCAGAGACAGCCGCAGATAAGAGTAATGAGGCACAATGAACGCAGGATTTATAGGACGCAGTTCTCTTGCCACAACCGCATACTTACAGCATTAGCAACATACAAACTCATCGTGGGGTAAGGGTGGTATTTGATGCGATTCTGACTTGATAGTCCTCACTCGGGTCGCTAGAGAGGACGATTAATGGCTTCCGAGACCTCCTTAACGTAGGTACCTAAGGATACTATATCGGAATGTTGGGGCGCATTCTACTGGCGGGCGCTGAGAACGAATGCTTACTACGGCAATTTCGTCAGCCAGTGCATGCCAGAGACAAAATTCAACCGCGCTTCGATTGTGCTGGTTCGTCACCTCATGAACCAACCCCTTCTCGTTTGAATCTCACACCAGGGCGAGTTCTAATGAGGCGGAACTAAGAAGGGGCTATGTCAGTACAGTAGTCGCCGGCTATTAAGCCCACCTCGGGCCCAGGCCAAATTGGGCTTAATAAGCGGCTGGGCTTATTAACCGTAGGCTTAATTCAGTAGTCGCCGGCTATTAAGCACACATCGGGCCCAGACCAAATTGGGCTTAATAAGCGGCTGGGCTTATTAACCGTGGCTTAATAGCCGGCGACTACTGTATTAAGGGCAAATTTGTATGCAGTTGGCGCTCTTCTAAACCACTACTTTAGCGACGTCATGATAAGTGAGGAATGACAGGCAAACGCCAGAAATACCCTCCTCGTGGAGCAAGGAGACTGAGGTGCACTGACTTATATCTTACCACAGGGCTTGGCTGTTGGTGGGCTTGTAGACGTGTTTGGCCCCAATTTCAATGAAGGAACTCATGTTCTGAATGTCTGTGTGGGG